ATGTTCTGGTATAAAAAAGTAATCATAAAATATTCTTTGTTTGTGTAAATTGTGCGTCTTTTCAAGAAAGAAAGTTTTACTCTGGCCCAAAGGAAACGTTTTATAATTAATATATATAGAATGTCTCTCTTTGTGTGTGGAAAAAAATGCTGTTGTAATTTTTCGGGCTCTCATTACAAAAAGTTTTTTTTTCATGTTTACTCTTACACGTGCAGGAAAGGTGCTGCCTTCATTACTCTTTATTGAAAACAGATACAACAAAGGGCGGGCATCGCACAACAATGGGCCGAGGCAGCCGCCACGTCAGGCCAATTGTTGCTCCAATTATTAATTTCCGAGCGCGACCACTTTGCCTTTCAAAATATTATTCAGGGTGAAATCAACAGATGGGGAGACAAGTTTTTAATAATTTTATATTTTAAAATGTTAAATTGTTATTAAATTGGAAGGTGGCTTAATTTATTCAACCTAATGAAATCAACAATAAAAGATAATATCAGATATTTTTTGCAACTTTCTTGGCCATGAATTAAGTTCAAAATAAAATTCTCATTTAATTTAAAAAAATAATTTCCAGTTGATACGGCAGTTTTTTAATCGATTACAATTCCTTGATTTGCTAAATAATTTTAAAATCAGAGCTGAGAGACGATGCCAATTTTATTGTTGGAATTTTGCATGGAGCTCTTGACTAATTTATTTGACCTCTTTGTGAATTCCATTTACCAAATTAGTCGGAAGATGAGGTCGCAGTCAAATTCTTTCCTCTCCTTAATAATTACCGATAATTAATCTCACTTCACAATAAAGCAGGTAAAAAATGGCTAATTAATTACGCCGTGGATTGATTTAAATTGCTCTCTCCGTAATTAGGACCGACGAGAATAATCGGCAGAGGCACAAAGGTCTGTAACCGTTTTTGCACATGTCAACGATCTATCAAAAGGGGGAGCAGCAAAAAACGAAAAATGCATATGGATCCTCGTCGTCAGCTGTTCGCCACTCATCATATTTTTAACGACTGCGACGACGCAACAAAGGAAGTCACAAATGTATAAAAGCTCGGATCCATTTTCGATTTTGCTTTATCACTTAATTTGTGCTCTTTGAGCTTTCACGCGCACTCGCCTAATTAATTTGCTTTCCATCCTGCGTCGGCCATCGGAGATTTCTAATCTGATAAAAATCAGATGGACCGAATCCTTCACCGATTTAATCACGCGCGCAGCTCCCGGATACAAAAATTACTGTTTGGTGCTGCGGCCAGTTTGCGCTCAGCACTCTCTTGAGTACACTTAAGCTTGAACAGAATGACTCGGCGTTTAGCGAAACCGGCCAATGTGCAGAGGCTAATCAATTTCTAAACAAATTGAGATTTCCATTCCAACAACAGATCACTTTGAATGAAATTCGTTATATTAAAAAGAAAATTAAAACTCGTTTTTTAATTTTATGTTAATAATTAATTTGTTCCACTGAGAAAATATAAAAGCAGATCAAGTTTTGAAAAAAAATTTATGAAATCGCATGATTTTATTAATTTAAAAAAGTTAAGGTTTGCCTTTTTCTAACAAGAAAGATATAATTTAAGCTACAACCCAATTGAACACTGGAACGACTTGACCTCAAGTTGAATGACCTCTGAAATCCGATTCGCACAGGAGGATTGACTCATTTGTGGAAAATAAATGAGCGCGCTCGTAATGATTTCACACTTCTCGGCCGAGACAATTTCTGGCCAGACAGTTTTTCCCATAAATTGATTGATTTGGGGGAAAATTTGGAGCAAAAGTCTCAGACCGCGTCAGGTGGCCGCTCTCGGAAACGTGCTCTCCACATTCCCACAAGTAAATGATTTGAACAAGTCAGGTGTGCAACTGGACCAAAAATGTTCATCTAAAATGCCTTCGAAAATCTTTTATTTTAGTTGCAATTTATCTTAAATTATAAAATATAAAATCAAGACTGCGGATCTTTGCCAAAAGTATTAAAATTAAAGTTTAAAAAATATTTAATGTATTCATTTCTGTTAATTATTTTTACTATGTTTGTAACAAAATGATGAAATTGTGTTTAATAAAACAACATTAATTAATTCTTTAAACTAAAGTAATTGTTTCGAATAAAATTAAAATGTGTCTGAAGCTTCAATTGATCATCGTTTGCAAAGATGAGCGTGCAAAATTATGAAAACTTGAAACATTGTCTTGATTACAAATAATAAGAATCGCAATTTCCAAGTCAATTTATGATTCCAAAATATATAAAAAATTATTAAAATTGAATTATAAATAAATAACATGAACTTAAAATACAAATTAAAGCTTAATTTTTGTATCAAGCAAGACCGATTTAGTGTGACTTTTAAAGTGATCTAGCGCGTGTAATTAAGCATTAGTTGAAGTTTGAGGTCTTCGGCCTGGCCAAATTGAGCTTCGTCATCTCTGCTTTCCGACCTCGTGTGTGTCGAATCGCGGCGACTCGAAAATATGTCACTCACGTGTGGAGAACAAACTTTGGAGAATAAAGAGAAGCGCGTTTTACACACTCGATTTGCTCGGCTCGACCTCCGCGCTCCGTTTGACCCCTGACACCTGCAAACAGGTCTCCGCGCGCGGCAACACTTGCGGTAATAATTATTATGCTCGGACCTGTTTGGCCACAGAAAATACTTACTTCTTTTTGTCCCAAAGAATTTATATTTATTTGAAATTGGTATAAAATTGAACTGGTTTTCCAATTGATTCGTCTCGTTCCAATTTTCCATTTTTTTTTCTGGAAGCAGAGAATATAGACGGGGGTGCTGTTTTGGCTTCTTTGTGCGCTGCGTTTCCTCCCTGGTAAAAAAAGAGCAGGGAGGATAAAAAAAGACGGAACGCTGCACAATCTGCTACGCGATCTCTAATGTGATCTTAATATCTGATCCGCCTTAATGCGAATTTGATTTGGCACGAAACGTTTCGTGTCTCCAAAAGTAAAAGCAAAAAAGAAAACGCCTGCTTAGCGCAATTCCATTTTGCTCCGCGAAGAAAATTATTCGCAACTTAAATCCAGCGAAAAATTCACAATAACTTTGATTTTTTTTAAACAAGTGAAATATTCAAATCAAATTTGCACCATTTTTTTGATAAAATCTGCTTGGTATTATAAATTATCTGCTGTTCTGCGGGTTGCATATCAAAATTTGATCCTAATCCAATTGTTTCCTTGGAAATTATATATTTATTTGCAGTTGTTTTTGTGTCAAATTCTGATTCGTATCATTCCTAGTCCTGAATTTTTAAATTTACAACTCCAACATTAACCTAATGTTTGATAAAAGAGAGAATGTTTATAATTTTGGCTTATTTAATAGTTTTTTTTTCCTTCGGCAACTTCATTTCTCAAGTTTTCAAAAACTTGAAGTTAAAATTTTAATTAAAAAATTGTAAAAATCTCAAGATCAGAGAAAAATGCAATGAAAAATATTTTAAAACAAAATTAAGGGGATTCGTGGTGTAGAAATTTGGTCGGAGCAGCAATTTGCGCACCCCCGTGGCCGGCGGAGGTGGTTTTGCGATCCAAAATGGAGCCGGGGTCGGTGCTTGTGCCGGCTGAGTGACACTTTCTTGTTCTCCGAGCTGTCACAAAAAAGGGCGTTGCGGCACCAAAAGGGGCGTGCCGTGCCCATGGCCAGGCGAGGCGTGGTTTTAGCGGAACAGGTGCGAGTGAGTTTCGAGGGGCGTCGTGCATGCGCCTTAACCCGCCCGCCCGCCCTGCCGCGGCCTCCGCGAGCCCAGGACCCCGCGCGCGCTTATTAGTCGCCGGTGCTCCTCTCGCAACAGGTCCTCATCTGCATCTCGCTCCGCTCTCAGGATTTTTCAAACCAACTCCAGTGTGCGCCGCGAAAAGTAGTTCAGTGCCCATAATTTTGTGTTCCGAGGTACGTCATATTCGCTTCCTCCTCGATAAGACGCCCAAGACGGATTTAAAAGCAATTTAAGTAAACAAATATTTATTTATAAACAAAAAAATCCATAATTTGTTTAAACTTCATTAATCTGAACAAAATATTTGGGAATATCCTCAAAATTTTAATCATGTCCAAACAAGTTTAATTTGGCTTTTTTTCTGTTTATCAAAGACTTTAATTTCAAATTAATCTTGAACCGTTGAATTGTAAATTTTGAAATTGGGTTCAGAGGCAAAATTGTACGAAAAATTGTTTGGCTATTTTAGAATGTTCGTCACGTTGCACATTTTCAATGATTAGACTTTTTGACCTTTGGCCAGGGTCAATTGAGTTTGACCTGCAGAATTGAAGATGCTAAATTTAATTTTCCACACCATTTTGATTATCAATTTTTTTGCACTTTTTTGCTATTAAAAATGCATAATTATGCAAATTAAATTGCTTTATATATCTGTATAAATTTGTTTTTTAATTGAAGTTGAAGTTTTTGTTCATTTATTGTTTGTTTTTCCTTGCAAAATTAATTATTTAAGTAATTTGCTGAAAATTCGTGTGAAGTTGACTTATTTGAAGTAATTTTTGGCACTCGCCAGAGCTCACGTGGTCCCACGTGCGGTCCACGATTGAGAGAAGCTGCTTCTTTATTCACGCAGAGTGGCCTGATTTGTGAAAATTGTGGCGAGGCAAATTTCAAGGAGCGCCTCACACGCGACCAGCACACGCTCTTCCCTGGCCAAAATAATCGATACATCTTTTTCTTTTTACCATCAAGCTTCATTCAAACAAAAGTTACATAATAATTCAAATATTTTTAATAAATAATCGCAGTATTTGCTTCAAACTTTAATTACTACTTTTTTTTAATTTGGTAAAAAATATGTTAAAATTTATAAAATTACTTTATAATATATTGTATATAAATAAAATTATGTTAATATTTTAAATTTTTACGGCCTTGTTTACTATTTTTAAGATGATTGATATTTGTAATTTAATTTTTGTACTTTTTGTAAATTTCGTAATTGTCATTTTGTCGTGATTGTTGCAGGGTGATGCGAGCGGATTAGTCCCTTGAGGCTCTGTTGTCATGTACCCTTGGTATCGGGACGCCGGACAGCTTGGACAGTTCAACCCTCAGGCCATGCCAGCGGCCATCAAGACCGAGACCGGCTACAACGACTGCATGTTGGCCCTCGACTACGCAGCACAATCCAAGGTAAGAAAAGAACTCGCTCCGCTTTTTTGCTTAACATCGTTTTCGGCCACACAGGAAATGAAACGAAAGCGTGTGTGGTACTTTCATGTGAACACACGAAAAAAAGATAATATTTTGAAAGCTGCAGGAGAACTTCGGACCTGCAACAGCTTATCTGCCGCGCACGGAGGCTTATCAAGTGCTAAAAAATTGTCAAGAGAACATTCGACATTGTAGCTAATTTTTTTTATATTTTAATTAAACACTTTAAAAGAAATTTACACATTTTTCGGGAAAATGCAAAATATTTATAAGGATTTAATTTGGCTAATATTTTGGTGAAACGGATTTTGCGTGAATTTTGGCACAAGTTAGAATTTTATTGGGGCCGATTTGTGCTGCCCTCGGCGCCCTGGACCAGAGGCTCGGCGCTCTTTGCTCTGCTCGTTGCGTGAGGCGGAAAGCAAGCGTGCTTTCAGATTTTTTTTACTCGTGCTAATGAATCGCGAGAACCTTGCCAGAAGCAAACCTCAACTAAAAATATGAAACCAAACACCAGAGTTTTTGAACCACAAAAATTATTCCGTCATGGCGCAATTAATTCAGACGTAATTAAGTAGCAAAAAAGAAGTCGGCCGCCGTGAAAATTGAGCTTTTTTCTCCCCCAAATAATGCTTTTATATGAAATTATAAGTCATTTTATTATGCTTTCGTTGTTTACCATGAAAGTCATTACCGGGGCGTTTTTCCTCAAATAATGTGCGCACAATAATTACCTCCAATTATATGCGGGGTCCACAAATTTTGTGATTTCCAGTCGTAAAGTAATCCTTCTGCACGCCACCGGTGTATGAATTAAGTAGTAAAGTAAGAAACAAGCAATAATTACTCGGCCAATCGTAAAAATACTCACAGCAATGATTCGGCGAATGAACCCATTAGTCTCTGCGGCTTTCGAGACGTGTCCGCCGGAATCAAGATTAGTGTCGCGCAGGGTTCAGATCAAACGATGTTTTAAAATCGCGAGAGTGTAAATAAATTCAGGGCGAAATAAGTTGTGGCCACGCGAGATTATTTAGAGCGGCGAAAGTAATTTATTTTCGAACACACACACAAGAGCACTCGATAAACAAAAGAAGTGCCCTCGGACGAAAAGTAGCTTGAGACACATTTTTCAAATGTTTCACTTGAGCTAAATTGAGTTGATTGAGTCGAGCCTGCGAAATAAACCCCGGCCAAATGAATTCTAAGACAGAAGCAACAACTATTAATATCAATTTACAGGGAAATTAGCAAATTATGTTCATTATAAGATCACTTTTAATTTTTATGCTCAACAATTATTGGATTTTCTTTTACCAATTGGGGATATGAACTTGATTTGGTGAAATTATCATCGATTTTGGTGCGGCTAATTTCGAGAAATAATTTATCTTAAAAATTCTGAAACGAAAGAAGGTTGAATTTTAAAAATTCAGTTCTCCTAATTACTTACGGTGGGTCTGAATATCGGAGAATTGATTCTCGAAATGATTCTCTAAAAATATATTCTCGAGAAAAGATTCTTGCACAAGGATTCTCCAGTAACGATTCTTTTGTTAAATTTTAAATGCAGAAACGTTCCTGGAGAATCGTTGCGCAAGAATCGTTTAGAGAATTTTTTCTCTGATATTCGGACCCACCCTTTTATTTTTTCTTTTATGGACTTATTCTGATTTTTTTTTTTGTAATTTATAGTAATTTCTAAAAATGAACAAAACAAACTCAAATAAATTTCGTTCCTTTTTGTATCCTCAATTTTGTTGGCAAGAAAAAAACTGCACGTCGATTTCAGTGGCAGTTGCGTCGGCCTCACTTCACTCTTGGAATGGAAGAAGCTGCTGCTCGGCAATTAGTGGAAATTGTTTGCGTCTGCACATTCATGTATGAGTTTTGTTTGCATGCGTCGGTCGGTCGGTCGGTCGGACGCGGACGGACGAGCGAATGGACCTTCTTAATCTTCACTTGTCGTGCCGCAGAACAGGTTGTTGTTCCGTAATTACACAATCGCGAGAGGCGCTACTCTTTTCTAATGGGAGGCTGCGCTGCTGCTGCTCATGCACGCGGCTCCGCTCGCGTGTTTGCAATAATTTCTCCGGCCCCACGACCGACCCAACGCCACGCAAAATTGCCCTCTCCGTGCACCGCAGCTTAATGGGCTTATTAATGATTGATGATCTGGTAAAAATCGGTCACTTTTTTTCCAACAAAAGGAAATATTTTTAAGTTACTTGAAATTGGAAGGAAAATAGTTCATACATTAATAAACTTTCAATTTTTCTAACTTTTTTTTTATATTCAAATTCGAGCATTCTGCTAAAAACAAGCATTTGTTTCAAAATGTCAAATCCGAAGACACGAGATTAATAAAATTAAATTCATTCCGAAAACTGAAATTGTGCGGAAATGAACATTGTTTTTTATGGAAATTTCGTAAAATGATTAATTTCTCAAAAGTGGTGAGACCAAAATTGATAAAAATATCACCAAATCACGTTAAAATCAGCCCAATCAAATTAAAAATATTAATAAAAACTTGTAAAACCAACAATGTAATACACATATTGCAAAATAAGATATTTACGTTCCTTTTTTCGTAATAATCAATTTGAATTTTTACTTTAATCGATTTCATTGAGGGCCTTAAAATATTCATTCAGATCTTAAATTTCAAATGAAAGACTCTTTTAAACTCAAATAGAGTCTCTCTTTTTTGACAGAAAAAACAACATAAACTTTGAGGCGTTTGCAAAAGTCGTTGACAGTTTTGTGCGGCCTTTCAACCGTTCAATTTGTAAAACTTTCTTCTTCCTCTCTTGCATATTTTCAACTGCGAACGCTTTTGTGAAAACAAAGAGTGTCCTGCAAAGACATCTGGAAGGAGCGGCCAATTTGTCAGTTCGCAAATAATGTCGAAAATAGCTTCGCACAAACGGCTTCTCTCAAGAGACTGATGTATTTTCAGTCTGGACTCACGCGCGACACGCAAAAAAGGCCATCAAAAGGAGCTTCCTTTTCTCTCTCTCTCTTCTGCGAACATGTATAAAAGCGCTTCATTAACTGCAGCAATAAAGCCCGAGCGTTTATCGAGCTTGAAAAACGCGCGCCCACATTCAAGAGAGAAATTTCTTCTGATTTATTAATTCTCCAACTTGTTCATTCATCATAAGCGCTTAATTTTAAATGAATCGTGAATTCTTTCCACGGACAAGGTGAAACTTTGTGTTTGACAAAGTGGTGTTGCTGAAAATCTTCCGACGTGGCCAAAAATTACATAAATCAGGATGTAAAAACACCCAAATCATCGCATTCAAATTAATATTTTGTCCCTTTTTTTATTTTTAAGGTGAAAAGAATTCCCTAAATGAGACAAATCAAAATTTTGATGCCGACTGACACATAGATTTTATTTTCCATCTTATCTTATGAACGTGATTTGGCGAAATTTTAAACAATTTTGATCAGACTAATTTTGAGAAAAACAATTATTTTTTATTTCAAATTTCAACAATTCTGTTATTCCGTCAACATAAATTGCTCCTTGAAATTGGAAGCTACAAATTAATGCTTTAATGTAGAAAAATGGCCATTAAAATTAATCATGCCGTTCTTTTTGAAAAAGTCTTGTTAAAAATAATTAAATTTACATTTGCGGAAAAAATGTTGTAAATTTTTTGATAATATCTCAAAATTGACTTCCAATTCCACCTCAATTAAGTGAAATTAATAAGTTAACCTTTTGAATTTTAATTAATCTCAAGTTCAATTCAACTTATCTTTCTCACTGTAATTGCACGTAAATTGTAATCTTTGGTTCATAAATCAAGATAAAAAAAAAAATAAGCTTTTGGTATTCAATGAGGCAAATGAGAGAGACAATTAGTTTGTGTTTGGTGATAAAAGCACCCCCCATTCATGACTCAATGGGCTGCAACAATCGGAATTAAATATCCGAGCGCGCCTCTCTCGTCGTTTTCGATGGTCAAGTGTAAAAATCGCGTGTGTAAAAATGGTTAAAAATTTGTTACTGATTATGAATCTCGTGCAGACACCACGCAATAATCCTTCACTCGCGCAGTCCACAATTTTCATTTAATATAATAATTACGAGTAGAAAGAATTAACGCGCTTATCTGCGGCGGGTAATTAAAAGTGAAGCCTCGTCGGATCAAATAGTAATTTTGAAAGTTATTAAATTGCGCTAATTTATTTTGCCTAAATTGCTTCAGCACGTTGATTATTAGCCTCTTTAATTAACGCGCGGCACGTCCGTCAAAAGCTCCTTCATAGATTCTATCAATGAGAACAACAAAATATTTTTAATAAATGAAACGTTTGTTTTCTCATTCAACCTGCTAAATCTGCCCTCCGAGTGTCGTAAATGTGGAAATTTTGTCCTCCCTGTGAGCAAGTTTTGCCCTTGGAGTTTCTCATTGTTTTGCGGCCACATCGGAGCAAGGCTGCGCTGCGGATAATGACAAAAATTTTTGATTTCCAGCGGCCAAGGCGTTCTGCAAGTTTGCGGCTCGCGCACGAGATTTCTGGGCGCGGTATCAAAAGATAATTGGCATAAATAAAAGAGTCAGTTGGACACTGGGCGCTCTTCGATGGGGGGCTATAAACGCGCGTGTCTTCAAATTAATATCATATTTTTTCGGCAACAAATTCTGTTTTGGTTGTAAAAATATAAATAAATGAAAACAAATAAAACTCTGATGGCTTCAGCCTAGCAACAGCTGCGTCTCTTGATTTTATTTAGTTCTGAGTGAATCTTATTCGAATTTCAACAAATTAAACTTGATGAAATAAGACAAAAAATTCAATATAAAAACCAGATAAGCAAATAATGACACAATTTTTGAATAATCATTGTACAGTTAGTTTAAAATTATTTAATGTTTCAAATTAGAGAAACAATTAAGCTCGCGCAATAAACCCGAGTCGCACCTTAAAAGCAAAAGAGGGCATTTCCTTGCAGCTTG